TCCTGCTAGCAGCTGACACCCGGTGCTGGTGGAGACGCTCACAATCTCAAATTGCTCCATCTTCAGCCCCAGGGTCCCAGGAAAACCCTGCCGGTCACTAGGTCACCAAAGCAGATGGGGTCTGCTCCCGGGCCTCACGCCTCCGCCCCCTCCCAACTCCGCAGGTGGCTCAGCTGTGATGGGAGATGTGCAGGCCCCAGACTCCATCCTCGGCCCGGGTGTGACAGTGTGGACGGCGCTGCTGGGACAGGAAGCCACTGCTGATACGTGGGGAGCGCGCTGGGGGCTCTTGGGGGCGGGACCCTGGCTGGCCTGGAAGATACCCTTCGTGCCCCACCCCGGCTCCCACAGAAGGCAGGAAGGGGTTCGATAACCTGTAGGGAGGCGCTGCCGTAAACCTCGGACATGAACTGTTCTTTGTTAATCCTCATCCGAGGATATTTTTCCATTGGTTTTTAGGGCGCGTGGAAGAGAGAGGGAAAGACAGAAACATCGACATTCGAGACACATCAGTTGGTTGCCTCCTGCATGAGGGCCTGGGGCCGGGGAGGAGCCTGCAGCCAAGGTACGTGCCCTGAAGGGAATCGAACCTGTGGCCCTTCAGTCTATGGCTGATGCCCTAACCACTGAGCCCACTGGGCAGGGCCCGAGGTGACTTCTAGCTTACTTTTTGCGTGCTGGCCACGGCAGCAGGCCACGCAGCCACAAGTCCCTACTGTGTAAGCCCGTGTATGAGGGCTGCCTTCTGGTGCCTGGGACTCCATGTACAGTCCCCGCTCCAGGCCCCGCCTCTGCCCCCGGGGCCCAGGTCACTGTGTCCCCCTCTCAGTCCTTGGACCCTCTCCAGGCCTTTTCATTGACCTCCCACAACACTGGATGTCGACCGACCCCTGGCTGTCCATCCGCTCAGGCTGCAGCAGGAAACAGGGGGCTCTAGCCTCAGATCCTTCGGGGGCTTTCAGAAAGGGGTACAGGCGCTCCCCTCCAGGGAGCAGAACCCCGCCTCCCCCTCCACACACACCTGCCTTTCTCGCTCCTGAGTGCGACGGGCCTCCTTTGCTCTCTGACTTGGGTCCTGAGCCCACGCAGCCCAGCTGGCTCACTCTACTCCCTCTGTAACTTTCTACATACACATTCTTAAAAAAAAATTATTGATTTCAGAAAGAAACGAAGAGGGAGAGAGAAACATCAATGATGAGAAAGAATCATGGATTGGCTGCCTCCTGCATGCCCCACACTGGGATGGAGCCTGCAACCGGGGTCTGTGCCCTGACCAGGAATCGAATCCTGACCTCCTGGTGCATAGGTTGATGCTCAACCCCTGAGCCACACCGGCCGGGCTAAATGTTCTTTTATAATTTGAAAATAAGGGGGTGGGCTGTTTACGAAGTGTGGTACCTAGAGCTGTGACCCCTCGCAGGCCAGAGGGGACAGGGCTGGAGAGAGTGCAGAGGGCAGTGCCCCAGACACGGTCAGGGGCTCCCAGATCGCCCACTCCCTCCACTGCCCAGAGGTCCGAGGAGGAGGCTCCCTCAGGTCAGCCTCTGGGGACCCACGCAGGGAGGGACAGGAGTGGTGTGAGCAACAAAAGGAAGAGAGGACTGGACCCTGCCTGCCCGCCCCCCCGCCTGTGGGTCTCCCCTCCCCATGAGGCCTCTCCTTCCCCCTCCCGCTGCCCGAGGCGGCACCCTTAGGGCCCTGCATGTCCTTTGAGCTCTGGGACCTCTGCCGGGCACCGCTCCCAGGGCTCCCAGGGCTCCCAGGCTCCCTGGGGAACTCCCCACACCTCCAGCCAGGAGCAGGCACCCAGGAGCTGGCAGCTGTGAATGGCTCTATTGTTACCTCCCCTCCCAGGCGGACAAGGAAATCAAAGCACCTGGCCAGGGTCCCACAGAGAAAAGGGCCAAGGCCGGGGCGGGGTGGAGCCTACGGTTAGCTCTTAACCGCGACCAGGGAAGCACCTGGGAAAAGCTGGCTCCGTGACGCGGCTTCCAGAGCCTGGCCGCGAAGGTGGCTGCACATCAGCAGCGACTGGG